GCAATTCAGGAAAAAAGAAACTAATCAGGTTGTTTGTGGTAGAAATTCAGTAAAAAGGTCATGTACAAGACACCACCATGTATTGGTTTGGTTAAGTAAGATATAGTGGACATGTTGTCAGCACTCATATAGAAAAAACAGGCTTGGGAGGATTGATTTGGGACAGAAAAACATCAGAATCATATCTGCAGAATGCAATTTAACGTTTTTTTTTTCTTTTTTTAACACAATTTTTTGTCTTAAAATAATGTATGTAAATGTCCCACTCTTCGGGTGTGGGGACACCTCCTCGTATTTACCAAAAATTAATGTATGTAATTAAATGCATTTTGAATCATTAACTTTGTATAAAAAAATATATTTATAAACTAAGCCAAGATAAATTATTTCCAAGCAACTGGGGGACAATGGCATCCATCAAAGTATCACGTGCACTCTAATCTAATTGTGTGTTTTGTTGAATCATTTCCCATTGTTTCAATCTCTTGCAACATTGACAGCACTATTTTTTTTTTAAATATATACCAAATCTCCATTATTTTCAACATACAGATTGGTTTTGTGGTCATAATGACATGTTTTGACCTTGACAATTCATATAACTGAATCAGGATGGAAAGGTCATCATTATTAGTAACAGAAAACTGAATGGACATTTTGAAGACAGTAAACTCATTTTTATTTTCTTGTGATTTATTGGCTATTAAAAAGAGGGGTTGAAATAAATGTTAGCTTGTCCATGGGTCCAGCGTAGTTGCAAATGGCATTAACTTATAGAAGTTTCATATTCAAACACCGGTAGTGTGTGAGAAAACCTCCCTCCCTCTCCCTAATATTGTTTTTATTTTTATTTTTATAAGTGTTTTGCAAAAATACCCAACAAGAATGAATTGACCCAAAAATAAAAAACCAAAACAGCTCTTTAGGCTCCCTCGGCCTGGCCCGCTCTTAAATTGGGTAGGGCTTGAGCTTAGGATTTGAAACCTTCTGCCCATCTAGGCCATTCTTTTTTTTTTTTTTTTTTAAACTTAATTGATGCACTCCTTAATCTCATTTTAGACTTACTCAAAATAATATAATGTGTAGGATAACTTAAGAAACTGTCAAATTGGAGACTGTGTTGAGAAGAATATTTCTCTATGTATTGATAAAGCCAGAAGGCTAAGTATTTATAGAAAGATTTACAAACCCTACAAGGAATCCTAGGTTTACTTGGAGACTACTACTAAATCAATTACAGAAAAGGAAATAAAGAAACTTCCTAATTTCCAACATAAACTTTTTATTTCGTTTACACATGTTATGAATTAAGTTAATTTTTTCAATGTTGTCTAAAAATTTTGTAATAAAAATTTATAAAAGACATTGAACTACAATACACATCCCAAGTGCACTCCCTGACATTATTCTATACTTAATTGAAATAATGTAATAAACTTCTTTTTTTGTTTTTACACATGTTATGAATTAAGTTAATATATTTTTAATGTTATCAAAAAAATTGTAATAAAACGTTATAAAAGACTTATAAAAATAAAAATAAAAATAAAAGGTACAACCCGTCAAGCCATATAGGCGGCCCGATCTGTCCCGCCAAGCCCGTTTAGGCTCAGCCCAATGAGCGGGCTTAGGGTTTGATATTTGAAACCTCGTTCAGGTCCGGCTCAATGATAAACCCTACCTACACTGTGTGTGTCTTCTGTGGATCCTCTTTTTGCTCACAAACTTGGTTCCAGAACATGTTGCAGATGTGGAGCAATTTTGAGTAACCCAATCCAAACTTGTCACCAAAAGTCTTCCCAATATTTGATCATTTCATCTATTTTCTCTTCACTAATAGTCATATCAGTATTTGTGACATCTGGAACAAAGACGAGTGATTGCTCAAGGCCTCAACTCAAGACGGCCTGAAATTATATATCAGTCAAATAATATGGTAGAATATTTTTAGATGTATTTCATTCTCCGAAATGAGGTATTTATAATACAAGGTTACAAACCCTAGTAGGGTCAAACTGGGAAAACAAGTGGAATCCTAATTACATAATATCTATATAAAAGGAAATAAATAAAATAATATCCTAATAGAATAGGATATCTCTCGCTAACACTCCCCCTCAAGTTGGAGCAAATACATCACGCATACCCAACTTGTCAAGCGAGTTGAGAAAGATACTTGTAGAAACAGCTTTCGTAAGAACATCGGCTAACTAGTACTCAGAACGGATGAACGGAAAGGAAACAATCTCCGCATCCAACTTTTCTCTAATGAAATTTCGCTCAACTTCCACATGCTTTGTACGATCATGTTGTACAGGGTTATGAGCAATTGCAATCGCAGCCGTATTGTCACAATATAAATCCATGGGTTTCTTAGGCCCCAAACCAAGGTCTCTCAACAATCTCCTTAACCATAGTAATTCAGATACACCAGGGGCCATTCCCCGATACTCGGCCTCAGCACTAGACCGAGACACCACCTTTTGTTTCTTGCTCCTCCACGTAACAAGATTGCCACCAACAAACATAAAATACCCAGATGTCGAGCGCCTATCTGTAGCTGAACCAGCCTAATCAGTATCTGTGTACCCTTCCACATTTGTATGACCAAACTTGGAAAACATTAACCCCTTGCCAGGAGTCCCTTTGAGGTATCTCAAAATACGTGTCACGGCACCCATATGATCTTCACTAGGTGAGTGCATAAACTGACTCACTACACTTACTGTATACGCAATATTAGGACGTGTATGAGCCAAATAAATTAATTTTCCCACAAGCCTTTGATAGCGCTCCTTATCAGTAGTAGCTTGATCAGGATACAACTCCAACTTGTGATTCTGTTCACTTGGAGTATCAATGAGTTTACAATCCAACATTCCAGTTTCTACAAGCAAGTCCAAAACATACTTTCTTTGGGACAGAAAAATACCATGCTTAGATCTGGCAACTTCAATCCCAAGAAAGTATTTCAAGTCACCTAATGATTTCATCTCAAATTCAGACGCAAGACATTTCTGAAGACTCTGTATTTCTACCTGATCAGCTCCAGTTACAATCATATCTTCAACATAAATTATTAAAGCTGTCAATTTACCTCTGCGACGTTTCAGAAACAAAGTATGATCCGAGTTACTTTGTACATACCCAGATTTCCTCATAGCTGCAGCAAACCTCCCGTACCAAGCTCTTGGAGACTACTTTAATCCATACAATGATTTCTGTAGCTTGCACACCATACCCTCCTTAGAGGTCACAAGGATACCCGGCGGATGATCCATGTATACACTGTGGATGCTCTCACCATGGAGAAATGCATTCTTGACATCAAATTGTAACAGCGGCCAATCATGATTAGCAGCTAAGGACAAGAATACGTGTACAGTGTTGAGCTTGGCTACTGGAACGAAAGTCTCCGTGTAATCCACTCCAAAGGTCTGAGTATACCATTTTTGCTACCAATCTTGTCTTGTAACGGTCAATAGAACCATCAGCCTTATGCTTCAAAGTAAACACCCATCTGCACCCAACTGCCTTTTTTTCTTTTGGTAAAGGAACTAACTCCCAAGTAGCATTTTTGTTCAAGGCTTCCATCTCAATATGCATTGCATCTACCCAGTTTTGATCAGATAGAGCATCCTGCAACTTAGTTGGCACACATACACTAGATAATTGACACAAATATGATGCATATGACTTAGATAAACGATGAGTTGACATATAATGGTTAATGGGATATTTGGACTTGGCATGTATATCAGGAGAAGATTGTACTTTAGGTTTCCCACGGGTAGTGCGTGGGGGCAATGAATAAGTAGGCACATCACTAGAAAATACCTCTGTTTGCCGCGCAAATCTCACGGCCTGGAGTCTGCCGCGCAAATCTCACGGCCTGGAGTTCCGGGCCGAGGGGATATGCGTTGACACGCGGCTTCCTGCTTTTGGGTGTGGTGCGGTTGTGAGCGGGCGTGCCAGCACGGTCTACCGTGCGTCGAGATGTTGATGAGTGTAGGATGGATAAGTGGTGCGCCTGTTTGAACTCGTCTTCTAATCAAACGATTGTAGCCGAGAGAGGAACTAGTCTCGGCTGTTAGGTTCACGGCCTGAACTATAAGGCCGTTGAGTGATGGTGTTTGTGGTGGGTTTTGGGCAGTGTTCCGGCGCGTTGCTCAGGGAGCGACGGTCGTATGATATATGGGGTGAGTGAACGAACAACAGGGATGGTGCTCCGGCGCCTTGAAAATCAAGGGTCGTATGATATATTGATGAATGAATTTTCCTTACAGTCTAACACTACTCCTAGGAAAGCAAGTAAAGATATTGAAAGTGCATTACAGGAAAAAATAAGTTGCTCCGTGGGAGGCTTTGGTTTGGTGTTTGAACCCCTTTGAATGTAGCTTGAGCCTTGTATTTATATGAAGAGTTCCTGGAGGAGTAATCGAGGCTGAAAATCTGCATGGTGGAGCCTGATTAGAGCAAGTGGGTAGTCCAATCGACATTTGGGATCGTGAAGTATGGTGGTGTGACCCCATAAATCCTGGTGAATCTCGG